AAAAATATTATTTTTATTTTTAGCATATTTGTCTAATAAATTTATGAATTTAATATTTTACCAAACCTAACTTTCATGAGTTTGGCTATTAAACACTTATGAATTTAATATATTGTTGGACAACTTAAATTTAATTTCTTTGGACTCGGTTATGTGAGATACCCAAAGTACTTGGGAGTTTGATATATTACCAAATCTAATTTTTTTAAATATGATTATACCCCAAACCCAAATATTTATAGGTTTGATACACCCAACTCAATTTAAGATTTGTTTTAGAAATAAATACTTGAAGTGGAAATCTAAAACCATCATCTTCCTAATATATTAAAAGATCTTCTATCATCTATTTTTATGTTAAATTATAATATTTTTATGTTAAATTATAATATTAATGTTGATTATAAAAAATGGTTATATTAATAATAATATTATGTATAAATTGATGGAGGACTATCTTTTAGAAGCATATGATATTTTTATTATTAAATGTTGTTAAAAAAAACACTAATTATAGATATTAATATTGATTATAAAAATCTTTTTCTTGCTTAGAAAAAGACTATCCGAAGCAAAAAGGAAAAATGTTATAATTGAATTCTAAAACAACCCAAACCAGAAGATTCACATAAATCTAAGTATTTATCATACATATAATAACAAATATTTTTGTTATTAAAATCTCAAAAAAACTATTTTTGTAAGAAATTAAAAATGAATAAAAACAATTAAACTAAGAAAATAAAAAACAATAAACCGAGGGAAAAAAAAACCTATTAGAAAACCTAAAAATTTACAATTAGGTTTTGATTTTAAATATCCCAAATCGATTAAACTAGAACAAACCGGTTCAACACCCAGCTCGTTATCTCTGCCTCTCATCTCTCTCAAGTCCCAACTCCAAATCAAACCCAAAAATAACAGCCCCCAAGCTTTCTCTCTGCCTCTCATCTCCTCCATCACGCTCTGTTCTCTCTCTCGTCTCTCATCTGCAATAGATTGCATCAGCTATAATTGCTCGAGCAATCAGGACCTTCTCAGCTAGAGGCATGGACCCACAAAGGTACTCACAGTTCATTTCCACTGAATACTGCTATTCTTCCTGGCAATTATTTTTCCAACTTTTTTCTGCAGAATGCACTTCCTGAGGATGAATGGTTTGTTGAAACTGCAAAGACAGCCATCAATAAACTTCTGTTAGGAACATCTAGGTCAGACATCTGAGATTAACGAGGACCATATTATCCTACATGACGAGATGGCCTCCGACTCCAACGACACTGTTTTTTCCCTTTCATCAGTAGAATCATTTGAATCTTTTGCTTCTACAAGATGAGCAAGGCCCTCATTGGTTACTTTTAATGGTGCTTTTTAATTTGTTGGGTTTGCGTTGCTAGGTTCCAGGAGGAAAAAAGGTTGGATCAATACAGTGAGTCAGTGAGTGAGATAAAGGATAAGAATGGGTTTTCCGAGTTTTACTGTTCCGAAATCAGTCCGTTTTAACTAGTTTTGAATTTGAATTTTATTTTAAAAAAATAATTTTGATTATTTTTTAAAATGAAAACCTTTGAATATATATATTCAATTTTAATTATTTTTTAAAATAAAAATCAAATCGAATAAAAAATATTATTTCTACACGAAAACCAGTTTTTATCACCCATCCCTAAAATCTCTTGAAATCCTTAATTATAAAGAATAGAATGGAAGATTGAAAGGAACCCAATGATCATTCATGATAAAAAAATAATTTCCTAGCATTTTAAAATTTTAAAGAATCATTAATATTGAAGTTCTGTAAGTTAGAATTATGCCCAACACTTTTAAAAAAAAATTTAAAAAACTTTTAGCCAATTTACAAGATTCATATTCTTCAAAATCATTTTAAAGTTTAAGAATTGAATCTTGATTACACAATTTTTTTCACATATTTACAATTTATATGATAATCTCCCATACCAAACATTACAAAGAAACAATATAAGTAGATTTTTTTTATTCATTTCAATATTATTTCATCACAAACATAGCCTTTTCTAATATTTTTTTTTAAAATATCTATTGATTAACCAAATTAAAAACTAGCCTTACTAGAAAAAAAATTAAAAACCAAATTGTCATAATTTTTTTTTAAAAACAAAACATATCTTCAAGAATCTCACCGTAAGTAAATTTAATAAGAACATATTCACCCTCAGCATCTTAATTATGTGCAAATCACCAAGCATGATCTCTCTCCCTCGTGAAAGATAATATAAGTGTTATAAGTGTTGGGTGAGCTTTTAATACAGGAGACGCTTGGTGTGGACCCATGCTATACTCTAGTGTTAGATTTCTTTTTATGTAAAAAATGATGTTAATTATTCAAATATTTTTTTTTGTAAAAAAAAAATCATAGAACTGACTAGGTTAATTTTATTTTTAATTAGACAATAAGAAATAAATAATGACATCTTAAAATGATCAAATAATAAAAAATAATCATGATAACTTAAAAAAGATTTTTTTTTCAAAAAAAACAAACAATATAGTTCAATTCACAATCCATTAAATACAGAAGGATGTAATTGGATAAAAAAATTGGCTCGAGTCACCTTAAGTTATCTTTGCAAATCTGTAACCTTGATAATTAGAATTAAACCAACCTAGGTTATACCTATAGTTTTGAAACTTGATTTGATCATTAACCAAATCAAATGATCAGGTCACGGGTCAGATGGGTTAACCCGGGTCAACCCCCTAAAAAAACTTACACTTACAATAGTGAAAAATCAGTCTTCGTTGAAAAAGAAAGCCTGCACTTCTATAACCATGTGAACATATACACTTACAGTTGCAAGTCCAATAAACAGAATTGGTGAGTATTAACAGAAGCAAAACAAACGAGCAGGGACATCAAATTCAACTTAAGCAGAATAATAACAAAATTAATAGCAAATTGGTGAGCATTAACAGAAGCAAAAACAAACAAACAGGGACAATAAAGGGCAGAAGCAATAACAACTAATTGCAGAAGTAGAAGTAGAAACAGAAGCAGAACGAACGAAATATTCACAACAAAGTTCAGTTCTTTGACCATTTGAAGTCGCAGAAAAATAAAAGAACAGAGAAAATAAAATACATACCTGTGGAGCTACAAGCCTACCACTTCAAAGCAAATGAGTCAATAGAAGGAAGAATTGATGCCACTGTTATACTATAGCAAAACTCTCCAGCAAGTTCAATAGAGGAAAGAATATTTAAAAGATGTTTCAATTTGAAACAAATGATAGCGATAGAAGAAAGAAACAAGTAATACTCATCTAACCTTATTCTTAGATTTGAAACGGCGATAAAGGATTTAAGAGTCTTCTGCTCCTTTGCTCTTCTTCGCGACTGAAATGGGTTTGAAGATTTCTTGAAATTAATCAAGTTTTCTCACTTCTGCGTTTGTTCTTCTGCTCTTCTCGTGTTCGCCTTTTAATTGTAAAAGACCAAAACGATGTCATTTCGGTCATGAGTATACATAAAAAAAAATAAACTCGGGTCTTAGCTGGGTTTGACTGGTCTGTCCAGGTCCCGGGTCGACCCTCCAGGGCGACCGGGTCTGACCAGGCCAATTCCCAGCCTGTTTTTTCTTAGACCTAACCCGGTCATAGACCCAGGTCGGCTGGGTCTTGGGTCAACTTGCCGGGCCGGGTTTTAAAACACTAGTTATACCACTAAACTTTGATCTAGGTTATGAAATCGAGATAACTTAATAAAAAATAAAGTATTAAAGCTCAATTTAAATAATCAATGTCAAACGATGAAAGCAAAAAAGTAAATAAGTAAAACAAAAAAAAAACAATGTCAATTTGCGTTAACTTTTTAAATTCATAACTCAGGTCATTGGATCAAAAACATCTTATTTGAAAAAAAAAACATGAAGTCTAATTTTCAATCAATTAAATGTTGAATGATGAATTGGAAAAGGAAAAAACAATTTTAATTGTATAAAAGGATGCAAAATAAAAAATAACAATTAAAAAAACAATAATAAAATTAAAATACAAAATAAATCTTATTTTTGATTAAAATTTGAAATAAAAAAGAAAAATTAATTTAACAAAAAGATAAAAAGATCAAAACAATAAAATAATGAGAATCAAAATTGAAATAAAAAATAAAAACAAAATTTTGATTGAAGGTTTCAATTGAAAAAAAAATCAATTCAACAAAATAAACAAAAAAACTCAATCAAATAAATAGAACTAATTTGGAAAAAAATAACATATCCAAAATTAGATGTAATGATAAAATAAAAAAAATAATTTTTTTTATAAAATGACAAGAAATAAAAAAGAAAAAGAAAGAATCTAAGTGGCACCATGAAAATTTACATGGCCAACTCAAACCTAAGTGGCACTATGACAACTTACATGACCAACTCAAATTAAAAAAAAAAGGAGAAAAACTAAAAAGAAAAAAAAAGGATTGTGAGTAATTAACCACACTACCACGGACCATACACATCACCTTAGAGGAAAAAGGAAAGAGAATTTTTGCTATCAAGATGCACCATCTAAAAGGCATATGAGTCTCTTACATGTATTATCCACTTTTTTTATATATTTTTATTTAAATATTATTTTTTCCTTAATTAACTTAATAATAATGAAAATAATATTGTAAAAATATAAAAAAATCCATTAATGCTAGTTTAAAATTTTTGCTTTTAATAGTTATTTTTCCTCGATCAATATTATAATAACTAATAGGCATTGTGGAAAACTCTAAATACCCCTAATATCTAATTTTAAGTATTTTTTATGGAAAAGACAAAATTAGAAATTCATAGCCAACTTTCCCCTTACTAATTTAGCTTTTATTAGTTATTTAACCCGTGTTATGCTGTGGGTTAAATATTGTTTTTTCATAAAAAATTCTATATGTAGTCTTTTTCTATATATTTTTGTAGTTAAAAAATTATAAGTATAAATGAAAAAGTTTACGCATATATATAATAAAATAAATTGAGAACTATGTGTGTTAATAAATAAATAAAAAATTCATTAATGACAACTAAAAATAAATTTTAAAAAATTAAAAAATAAATATAAATTAAGATATTTAATCTTGCAAAACGGAACATTTATCCTATTGTGTTTGCTAAATTTTATTAATTCAAATATGTTTTTATTTATGTAATTAAATTGTAATAGAAATAGACACATATATTAAATTAATTGATAAAATAAAAGAAAACAAATTATACAAAGCTGTATATATCAAAAATATTATTTAGAAAAATATTGTTATTTTAAAAAGTAAGTTGATCTATACAAAATAGATAAAAAAAATAGATAAACCAAAAAAATCTCTTCAAAAATTAGATACATATAAAATACTTTTAAGAAAATCTCTATCTAAAAAAAGATAAATGAAAAAATAAAAAACTCACGTATGAACGACATCAATTTAAAAATTATTTTATAAAAAAACATAGAAAAGGTATTGATTAAAACAAGAAAAATCAGAAAAAAAATAATTCCTTAAATATTGTAGCTTATCTTGTCAAATCTATAATTTAAGTCATGAGCTCAATCGAGTAAAATATTTTTTTTATCTTAAATTTATACAAAACATATATTTATTAAAAAAACAAAAGAGGGCAAAAAAATCAGCAAAGGTGTTCAAGCCCATAGACCTGAATGTGCGGGTGGGTTTTTAAGCCTAGACCTACATGTCTAAACTTATTTCTATTTATTTTTTGATATTTTAAAAGGACAAATGACCTTATCCTAAAAAAATACAAAGGCAACATGTTGCTTGTCAAGACAAATAACATGTTATTTATAAACCTAGATTTCAGCTACCACTGTGGATGCCGAAAATCAGGGCAACAACTTTTTTTCTCTCCAAAATTCCTAATTTGCAAGCCATTTAAATTAAAAAAAATACCTCACTAACATTATTGAAACACCCATAAACCAATTTGTCAACTCAAAATATCCAAAAAATAATTTAAAAACTTGAAATCTAATCGAGCTAGATTTATCTTCCTTGGCTATAGCCTGTAGACACCAAACAAATTTATTTTGATGGTCAGAAATGATTTAAATGACAATTTTTTCCCTCATCATTGAAATTTAATGACTCTTCTCTCTCTCTTTCTTTAACAAGAAACTGAAAAATAATACAAATAAATATTAGAATCATAACTGATTTTATTTAAATTTTAAGGAATCTAAATTATATAATTTGTATTATTTTTAAAGTTTAAGAACTTAAGTGTATTTTTATATAATCCCCGGTATCAATGTTTGAAATCTTTTTAATTTTAGTTTTTATTCTTTTAATTTTACCATTACTTGAAAAATTCAAATCAATTGAT